TATCCTTCGGGCAAGGTTACCTTTGAGATTTTGGGGTATCTGTGCTATCAATGTTGTGTGCCTCATTAATAGGATACCATCTCCAGTTTTGGACAACAAGTCACCTTTTGAAATTTTCTATAGGAACTTGAATCACCTGGGAGTCATAGGCAGCATGTCCTATGCTACTATTACTGGTGCTAGTGGAGACAAATTTGGACCCAGAGCTGAAGCAGCAGTGCACATGGGGTATTTTAGTACATAAAGGGATACAAAATCTATAGCCTCTCACACAAGGTCTTCTTCATATGCAAAGATGTCGTTTTTAAGGAGGATGTTTTTCCTTTCAAATCATCTCAGACATCATATGCATACAGGATTCCTTCTTGTCCTGCACATGTGACACATGTGGACCTATATTCAGTTCCACCATCTACTCAGGATGGTTCTCCTGCTCAGGTGCCCAGTTTTGATCAAGGACCATTCCTTGATCAACCAGGTTCACTTGTCCATGGACCTCGTACTGGTATGCATGCCACTATTGAAGCCACCAGTCATGTGCTCCCATCAACTGGACCTCCCTTACAGTCCAGAGGCTCTGCAGCAGGACATTCTTCACTTACTAGCTCTCATGTTGTTCCTTCTTCATAGCCCAGAAGGACTGCTAGAACTTTCAAACCTCCTGGATGGTTGAATGATTTTGTGCATGGTCCCCTGCCTAGTGAACACACATCATCCTTATGCATATACACTCTGTCTCACTACATGTCCTACATATCTCTTTCAGTTTTTTACCTTGACTCCATCTGCATTTATTCTGTCATCAAAGAACTTGACTCTTATTCAGAGGCTCTACAGGATGAACATTGATGAAGTAGGAGATTCAAGCCTTACTTGACAATCAAAATTGGTCCTTGGTGGACTTACCTACTGGTAAGAGGGCCATAGGTTGTAAATGAGTATACAAGGTAAAGTATAATGTCAAGAGAGAGGTAGAGAGATATAAGGCTCGTTTGGTGGTAAATGGGTATACACAACATGAGGGGTTGGACTACCAGGAGACTTTTTCTCCTGTGGTGAAGATGGTCACAGTTAGATTTGTTCTGTCCATGACAGCCATGTATGGTTAGAACTTTACCAGATGGACGTCTTCAATGCCTTTTTGCAAAGGGATTTGATGGAGGATGTATACATGGTGCAGCCTCCAGGTTTTGCTAGCCAGGGGGAGTTGTCTAAGGTGTGTAAATTATAAAAGTCCTTATATGGACTGGAGCACGCATCCAGACAGTGAAATTTGAGGTTGTCTGAGGCTCTTCTGAGTTCTGGCTTCTCCCAGAGTCACTACGACTAATATCTTTTCACTAAGAAAGTTGATGGACATACTGTGATTATCCTTGTGTATGTGGATGATCTTTTGATCACTGGTTCTTCTGATTCTCTTATTCAGGACACTAAGGCCTTACTTCATCATCATTTCAAGATCAAGGACCTGGGGGAGATTGGTCTTGAAATAGCTAGAAGTAAGGCTAGGATTTCTGTTTGTCAAAGGAAGATTGCTTTGGATTTAATTTCAGAACTAGGATTAGCAGGATCCAAACTTGTAAGCACACCATTGAAGGTCAATCAGAGACTCACAAGTGCGGCATATGACAAAGGGCTTGCAGTTGATGCTACCGAGATAGATGAGACACCGGAAGATGCCACAAGCTATCACAAATTGGTGGGCAAGCTTTTATATCTCACAATAACTAGGCCTGGCATAGCCTATACAGTACAAAACTTGAGCCAATTCATGCACTCACCCAAGAAGTCACACATGGAGGCAGCCCTAAGGGTGGTCAAGTCCCTTAAAAATGCACTTGGCTTAGGAATTTTACTATCCTCTAGAATGTCTAATGAGCTGATAGTGTTCTGTGATGCTGATTGGGCTACTTGTCCCATGACAAGGAATCAATAAGTGGTTTTGTTGTTAAGATTGGAGACTCTTTACTTTCATGGAAATCAAAGAAACATAGTACTATATCAAGAAGTTCAGCAGAAGCTGAGTACAAAAGCATGGGAACAACAATTGCAAAAGTAGTTTGGCTAGTGGGACTGTTTGGAGAACTGAATTTGCAAATTCAACTGCCAGTGAAGTTGTTTTATGATAGTAAAACAGCCCTTCAGATTGCGGCCAATCCAATTTATCATGAACGAACAATGCACATAGAGATTAACTGTCATTTCATTAGAGAGAAGATACTAAAGGGGTTGATAGAAATAGCACATGTGAAGTCAGAGTTGCAGTTGGCAGTCTTTCTAACTAAAGGCCTTGGTCGAACACATCTTGAATTTTTGTTGTCCAAGCTAGGAGTGTTCAACTTGTTTACACCACATAGCTTGAGGGCGAGTGTTGAGGGGAGTTGAGTTGTTGACGAGCTAGCAAGTTAGTTAGTTGGTTTGTGTTAGGAATAGTAATTAAGAAGTTAGTTATTTTTGTATTAAAAAATATACAGTGTATTGTGAAGATAATGAAAACATTTTCCAATTTTCTAGAAGTTTCTCTCTGTTTTATTCGTCTCTCTTCTTCGTTCCTCTCCATTAACAGAGCATTTGAGCTCTTAACACTAAGGAATCATGAAGTACTTTATTTCCATTTATTTTATTTTAAAAGTTTTTTATTAGTACAAACATGACAAAGAACCATGGATGCGGCGGTGACAGATATTAATGGATGGCATACCTCTATCGTTAATTAGAGGTATCGAGTTTGAGTTGTAAGAATAAAAAAATTCCTGATAGAGAATACTTTTCTTTTATTGAGTCACATAGGATGTGCATTCGTATTAGTTTTGCCAGTGATACGGTTATAACAAAAATTTAAAAATTTAAAAACAAGCGTGACAATAGAAATACTAGGAAAATGTTACGTGCGAACTTTTGTTTTTTCTTCTCTTTGTTTGAGAGTAAAATATTTCTGAAACACATATACAATTGTTTCTCAAAAGTTTGTTCTTGAAAAATCACTGAAATCAGATCTAAAGCACATTGTAAGCCTCCAAAAAGCTGTTCTTTCCACCTCATTAAGCTCAAACTTGCACGTTAAGTTCATGCACAATCAAATCCACGAGAATTTAATACATGCATTCAATATATATGAGTTAGATGAGTATATAGTTTTAATATAAAAGTAATAATAGTGTTACTATCAAACAACAGTTCATTATTTTTACTTGAATTTATAGTTTGATGCAATTATCGAAGCATTAATTATGTACTACAAAACAACCATGAAAAGTAATTAAAGAAAGAATTGTCATTGATATAATATTGCAGAGCTAATTAAGCTAAGTACTTGAGCTGGACGTGTATGTTATATTGGTGAAAGGAGTGAAATTCCTTTTCCCCTTACTGTCTAAAGCAATGTTTAATTTGCCTTTTATTTACCAATTTCCAATTTATGTGATTTTTTAAAAGTATAATGTTTTAATTTGTTTTCTCAACTTTAGTATTATCTATAATACAAATAATTAATGACATATTTTATTCAAGTTACGACTTACGATATTCAAGAGAAATTGCTAAAAAATTTCATAAAAACACTATAGAATTTGTTAATACTATTATTAATCTTTAATAAAAGTGCTTTTTCTGAAATATACTTTTTCTCTCCACAACGTAAACACCGGAAAACTTTTTCTATGGAAGTGTCATTCGAAAAATAAGTCGTTTATTTTCCTTTATATGTCAAACACATTTAATTAACTTTTTATCTTTTTAATTCTTCAGCAATTTGAACCACATATTTTAAATAGATGTTCCCTTCTTTTCCCCTATTCTATCCAACCTCCGAAAATATTTTGCCACGAAATGTTAGAATCTTTTGTGCTATATTGGTACCTAGACTATCAGGAACCTTAGTAATTCAATTGGTCGGCTATCTAAACTTTTATCTTATTGAGGAGGATTTGATTTTTCACCTTATAATCCCCTCCCTATTTCCCTTTCCCCACTGCCATATGTATAGTAAAAATTTTAAAAAATAAATAAAATAAAATAAGAAGAAAAGACCCTCTCATACACATGTAATTAACAAGCCAGGATTAAAATAGATCCTTATGATAGTACTACAGAAGAAATAGTCTCATAACTTTTATATCAACGAACGCTGTCATACTTTTAGAGTGACAAGAGATGCCTTTGTAATCAGGGGCGGATCCAGCCCTTCGGTATCGGATTCAGATGAATCCAGTACTTTTGTCGCGGAGTATAAATTTATGTATAAAATTCGTTACAATTGCAACGAATAGTAGATGTGAATCCATAACTTTAAAAAGATAATGGATTAAATGCTAAAATTCTTAAAGGTTGAACCCATAGAATTTAAATCATGGATCCGTCTCTGCCTTTGTTATTAGAGATTTAGACAAATAGAAGTTGCAGCTTGCAAGAAAATGTCATCTTTGTTGTGGTTACTCGACATGATATGTTATTTTATGATTTGCGGAAATTTCCTTAGTTTATTTACGTCACATTCGCTTGTTGAAGTGGACCTTATTTATTGCAAACCATATATCTCATGCTCTTTCCTAAACCTATAGACATACTCTTCAAGAGACATTCCACATTGGTGTCTCTTGTGTTTGATTGTATCACGATCCCAAATTCCACTAAAGGTTGTGATAACATTTAACTATAATATTTAACCCGCTTGCTAGGCAAGTCAGCACTCACATAATAACAGAATCCAACTGTTAAGCCATTAACTGATTCATAATATAAAAGCAAAGCGGAATAAGTCATAACTCAAATATCAAATGTGCATAAAGCTCAAACAGGATCCGCACAAGACCAAAAATGTCTCATAAACTCTCCCAAAATACGGGTGTCACACTTACCCCAAGCGGTGTCACATGACACCGCTTCGTCAATTTTTTTTACCAAATATATATATGTTAGGTAATAAGAAAAATAAAAATATGCGGTAAAAATATAAAAAATGGCATCGCTTATCGTTATAGTTATTTATTCATTTGCTCACTTTTTTAAATGATGACACCGCTTATAAAATTTCTTGTGTACACCACTGACTCACAACTAGTCACAAGCATCTAATAAGAGTACAAGATACCAATTGAATACAAGGTCTGTTCAAAAATAATAAGATACAAAGATAGATATAAAGAATAGGGAAGATGGACTCCATGTGTTGCGGATCGTATCAAGTAAGCAGCTCACCACGAAGTTTCCTAAAAGCACTCCTACTCTGCTGGGTGAATACCTCCAAAGCCAGTTTTATAATCTGCACAAAATATATATAAATGTAATATATGAGTATAAAAACACGGTACTCAATATGCATCTAATCTAACCCCGAAGAATAGTTTTGAGCAGTCGATAGTCGGACCTACTAACAGCTTAATAATCATAAGAGGCATAAACAATATTTGGGAAGTGAGTGGAGAAGTTAATACCTCATTTTCTTTACCTTCACACTCAGATTGATGTTTTCTATGATGAAAACGAGAGAGAAGCAAATTCAGAAGGCAGTGATAAAAGCACAAGCAAGTCACCCAAGTAAAAGAATTTTTTTACCCCTATGACATGTTGTTTTAGTCACAGAAATGTAATGACATATTTAAAATCATAAGTTTCAAAATCCTCTATTTCTATCTTTAACTCCGTGCCCTATAAAATAGTGTTACGTAAAATGAAACGGAGGGAATATCAATTTAGAATGCAATGAGACTATAGCTGGTCGTTGATACTAGTGCTTTATAATATGTCTATGCCAAGGAAAGATCGGAATATCTATTCGTTAATTCGTTATTACTTTGAGAATTCAGTTTATATTTGAGCAAATGCTACTCCATGTTCCATTTTCAAAAACCAGTCCATATACAGAAGAAAGGTTATAATACTTACAGGTAAACGTAGTACAAAATTTCTCCAATTAGGTGAGTGATCTACATCCAGATAAGGAACTCAGTGGTGGAAAGAGAACCTTAATTCCTGCAAAAGAAACTCATGAACCATTTAGGAACGTCAGACGCCTGTATCAATCAATCTCCAACATCTACTTATCTCTGCCAAAACAAACGACAAACAATGATGTAATGTATCTCATACAGCTAAAACTTAATACAGATTGGAGACAAATGAACCAGCATAGCAAATAGTAAAAGAACTGAATTTACAACAACAACAAACCCAGTTTGATCCCATAAATGGGGTTTGGGGAGGGTAATGTGTACGCAGACCTTACCCCTACCTCATAGAGATAGAGAGGTTGTTTCCGATAGACCCTCGACTCAAGGAACAATGAAGATAAAGCAACCAAGTAGCAGAGAATATTAGCAATAATGTAACATGGTAACGGGCGTGAATGTCACGATATGCATAATAAAGAACCATAAATAGGAAATTACAAAAGTAGTCCAGGAAACTATAACAAAAAAATTGTCTCTAAGACAATAATCATGTAAGCGGAAAAGGTAAAGCATATAAAAGGGTGCTTTAGAAAGAAGTTAAGAAAATAAAGATTTAATCAGTCAATTCAGTTATCGTACACATAATATCCCCCAAGGGTAGACAAGACTTCATAAATCAAAAATAAAAGGTCTTATAATCTAAGAAAAATTATCCTCTACAAAGATTAGACTAAAATATTGCATGATGCGAGCAAAATCCATCAGTTTTTAGGAGTCAACAAAAATGCAGTCAACAATCCAAGGATAAAATCAAAATAAATCAATAAACCGAAGCAAGCTTTGTGACACTTCTTCAAATACAAATATTAAATATCTACAAAAGTTAACATAGATTGCAGATTTCTCGGCACATATTTAATTGTTCAAGGAATTCAACAAACTATAAAACAGGGGAGTAAGCTGTTCTATACGAAGATCATCTATTTAAGAAATCTGTAAGCATCAATTCAACTGTCATGGGCTAGTGTGATAATAAAGAAGATATTTATGTGAAGATTAGCTTAATCATACTAAAATCATAGAATGTGAATGACATAGATGATTAACATATAATGAGTATACAGAGCATCCCCCTTTCCTGATGGCTTGAAGTCAAGCTTTACACAACACTACACATGCAAATGGCTGTCTAAGTGATGCATATTGGAACGTGCAGAGCGTTCAGAGAAATACTTTAAAAGTAGATAACTTGTGAAAAGGAGTTATATCAACCCAAATAAATTTTTCTAGTTTGAGTAATTAAACTACCAAAGCTTCACTTTCCAAATATTACATACAACAAAAATATACCAGCATGACATGCAGAGGCGAATGCAGTCTTTTGGTTATGGGTTCATCTCAACTCAAAACTTTCGACATGGAATATAATTATATACGTAAAAACCTACTAAAATATCAACAAGTTTAGATCTGAACCCATCATTTTAACAGTACAACGAGTTTAGTGCAAGGTTAAACCCATTAAGCTTAAATTCTGGATCCGCCTTTGATGACATGTTCACTCCTTGATTGTCCTTCATTTTAGAGGTTCTAGGAGAGGACGTAGTTCCAGCATGACATGAAAGTTTTAAAGTTCAGTGACAATCGGCTAGACCAAAGTAACGACATACATTAAAGAAAGTTTAAGCTTGCATGACTCTTGACACTCAAAAAGCTTTTTCAATTTGTTTCCCCGTGTCGTCAGCCCAAGACAGAGCAACACCTCATAGTTTTTAACCAGAGTTGCATCCCATGCAAAGGTGTCATTTAGGTTAACCCCATCTTCTGAATAGCATTCTAATATAGTATCTTCACCACCTTGTTTGAAAAGACAATAGTTTAAGGAGACAACAAATTGTTTACCAGTATCGAAAAGCTTGAGCTCGAATAGGATAGAATGGATATAGGAGACTCACAGCCAATCACAACTAGGTTGGGATAGAGGTATAGTTGATTGTCATAATGTAATTCGAGGAGGATGACAACTTGTGTCTCTGACCTGACATAAACAGCCTCTTTCCTTCCAGGACTCCCATTTCATAATTAGTCCAGATCACAACTTGCCCTCTTTCAAATTTACCAATTATGTGGAGTTCCTCTCAAAAATTATCTCCCATGAGCCTCAGGATGAATATAATTTTCATCTTTTTCAGTGGTTTCCAATTACGCAAAAATGTTAGATTACCAGAATACCAGTATAACTCTATTCCCAATGGTCAAAGCACTAGCTCCTCTAAAGTTGTGTGTCAGCCTGATGGCATCATCAAAAAAGAAAGAACTCATTTTCCTCCACCATAGCTTATTTACTGGAATGTAGCAGTGACTCGGATCCGAATCACTCCTCTTTTATTGGCATAAACCAGAATACCGTCGCCAGATCCTTCAAATGCTGTCCTCTGAAGAACCACCAAGCAGCTGCACCCAACTACTACCAGGATGTTTCTTTATCCCTTTCACTTTCATCGCTGATCTTAGGCTGTTTGCATCATTGCAATTAAAAAGAAAAGACAAATTGGAAGCAAGTACATAGTTTGATCCGAGTTCAGGCTCTATTTTGAGCAGAATATCTCTTATATTTTCGTCTGCACAAGGAACACGACCATGATGCTTACAAGCACTAATGAAACTCCTAAGTATCACAGAATTTGGCTCTATAGGCATGCTCTTTATAAGATCATAAGCTTCTTCTAATTCTCCAGCACGTCCAAACATATCCACCATGCATCCATAGTGTTCCATAGTTGGCCTGATGTTGTAAATACTTACCATTTTATGAAAATATTTACGGCCCAAATCAACAAGGCCTTTATGACTACAAGCACATAGAATCGCAGAAAATGACAAGCTGTCCGGTCTAAAGCCAACTTCTTCCATGCAGGTAAACAAGGATACAGCTTCTTCTCCATGGCCATTATCGGCAAGGCCAGAAATCATGATGGTCCAGGTCTGCAGATTTCTGTCAGCCATTGAATTGAAGATGTGGAAAGCCTGCTCTATATGCCCGCATTTTGCATACATTCCCAGGAGGGCTGTTTCCAGTTCAACATGTAGTTCAATACCACTGGTGACAATGTGCGAGTGAATACATCTCCCTAATCTGATATTCAGGACATGAGTACATGCTCCAAGCAAGCTGACCAAAGTGATGGAATTTGGCTGTTCATTTGCTAGCTTCATGCTTTGAAACAGGAGCAGAGCATCTGAAGGCAAGTTACTGAGGCATCCAGGAAAAAGCTGATTATTATGATTTTGAAAAGCAGGACATAAAGCAAAATACCTCAGTTTAAAAGTTAAACAGGAGAAGAAAGCAGCAAGACAGTCATATTATCAGATATCCAACATCAAGGAGATGGAAAAGTAGCAAATATTCATTCACGTGCCAAAATAAAGGGGTCGGATACAGAAAACCATTAAATTGGTCCACTAAATGATTTGGAAACAAAAACCACTATTTCAGCTTCTATTACTTCTACAAAAGCAGAATTGGTCCACATTTGTTTAAGAGAACCATAAATACTTTGGGCGCCAAATTTCTGAATGATGGAAATAAAATTACATTATTCATGGAAACTGACACCTATTATGCGTCAGCAGTCAGACCTAGCAAAACAAGTTTAGCCCTTAGAAGTTTCTCATAAGATGATACTTAAACTTGTTTTCGGGAAGTAGTAAACTTGAGGCACTCGAAAATTTACCCAAAGCTTGTATTTTTGTTCTGTGCTCACCCACATTACAACGATCATCTCACTTTGATTTATCACATCACCACAACTCTTTGAGTACTACCAAATACCTTCCACAAATATCTATAGCAGCGACACATAGTCTTGACACACTTTCAGGGGTATCCACAAAACATAACAAGAAGCCCGATTCCGGACTAATATACAGATATATGAAATATGTTTAGGAGGAGAAAGAAGAAAAATCTGAAAATAAATAAATACATAACACAATAAAAAGCCCGATCCAAAGCAATATGCAGAAATATTTTTTTACCACAGTATGTAGAAGAACTATTTGAGTAAGAGAATAAGAACAAACTAAAATCTAAGAATAAAATATACACATACACTCTAAGCTTCATTTTATATGATAATGTTTGAGTATAACAGAGTTTATTAGAAAGAAATAAGACTTTTCACAAATAAGCTAAATATATCACAAGCCCATATCCTAAACATCTAGTTGTGTTCAACACGCCATAACAATCCTATGTGAACATTAGCGGCGGATCAAGGATTTGAACTTTATGGGTTTTGAAATCTAGTACAACAACCTGAACTGCTAGTAGGATTCTGAATTTGATTTTTGTATATATTTAATGAATTTCTAAACACATATATAGGGTTGTGGACCCAAGCTACTGGGTTGTGCCACCCATATCTTAAAGCCTATCTCCGCCCTTAGGGAGCATGTCATTAAGGACAAACTAAAGATTATTAAGATTAAGAACTTCCTAATACAAAAAGGTTTCAATCTTCTTGAGATGGTCTACGAAGAATGAGGCAATAACAGATCTTACTGAAAAAGAATATCGCGTACCAATGAACATAAGCGGCTATCATAGAACTCCAAGAAACTATATCCCTCTCAAGCATTTCATCAAACACTCGCCGAGCATATCCGATCGCACCAAATACCGCATACATTCTCAAAAGGGTATTGTTCACATGTATGTCCGAACTGAAACCGGACTTGAAAGCCATTGAATGCAACGACCCACCAGTTCCAATCATCAAACAATGCCCACAAGATTTTAGCACGACAGGTAATGTGAATTTATCTTGTTTTAATTCCATTTTTTGAAGCTGGTTAAAGAGCTTCACGGACTCAATTTTCGTGGAGCTTTTTGAATATGCTCTCATCAGTGTGTTCCAAGCGAAGATTGGTGGAGTAATTGGAGAATTATCGAAGATTGTGCGAGAAAATTGGAGAGATATTGAAGATGAGAAGGATATGAACTGGGAAAGACGATATTCGTCGTGATCAAGAGCTATTTTGATTATTAGAGAATGAAGTTGGAGAAGATGGAGAGTCGTTTTGGACCGTTGGAAAAGTGCGTCAATTTGGTGGGAAATCATTTCTAAGCATTCTAGTTGATGACTAGAAGTGTTCTAATGGCAAGTTATATATATTATTATTAAAGTATAAGCCTAGAAAAAGTCACATGGCATAAGTAGCTAATAATTAGTTATTTAGTTAATAATTAATTATTGATTATTATTTTTAAATTTAAATTATTTTTATATCTATATATTATTAAAAGGAGAAGAAAAAACTCTCTCTTTAAGCCAAGCTGCATCATAAAAAAAAAAAAGCAACATGAAATAAGTAGTTAATAATTAGTTATTTAGTTAATAATTAGTTATTGGTTATTATTTTTAAATTTAAATATCTATAAATCTATATTTATATCTATATCTATATTCTATATTCTATATTCTATATATTATTAAAGGAGAGGAAAAAGCCCTCTCCTTAAGCCAAGTGGCATCATAAAAAGAAGTCGCATGGCATAAGTAGTTAATAATTAGTTATTTTATTAAAAGGAGAGAAAAAAGCCCTCTCCTTAAGCCAAGTAGCATCAGAAAAAAATAAAACAACATGTCATAAGTAGTTAATAATTAGTTATTGGTTATTGTTTTTGAATTTAAATATCTATAAATCTATATCTATATCTATATTCTATATTCTATATATATTATTAAAAGGAGAGGAAAGCCAAGTGGCATCATAAAAAAAAAAAGCCACATGGCATAAGTAGTTAATAATTAGTTATTTAGTTAATAATTAATTATTGGTTATTGTTTTTAAATTTAAATATCTATAAAATAATAAAATAAAATATTTTATAATAAAAAACAAAAAAATAAACTGTCCATTCAAATTGGAGAGTAGTTTCAAGTTGGACACTATAAATTATTTTAAAATAAAAAACTAAAATTACAAAAAATAAAAAACCGCGGCATCATAAAAAAAATTCACATGGCATAAGTAGTTAATAATTAGTTATTTGGGGAGTAGTTTCAAGTTGGAGTTTTAAAGTTATTTTAAAATTAAAAACCGAAAAATTTAAAAACAAAAAATAAGAAAAAATTAAATTATCTACAATAAAAAAACGAAAATATTAATAATAAAAAACAATTACCTATTCATGTTGGGGAATAGTTTCAAGTTGGAGTTGTAAATTATTTTAAAATAAAAAATGAAAATAAAGAAATAAAAAATTGCCAATTCAAATTGGGTTGTGGTTTCAATTTGGAGTTTTAAAATTATTTTAAAATAAAAAACGAAAATAAAGAAATAAAATATTGCCAATTTAAATTGGGGAGTAGTTTCTTTCTAATATAGTAGTCTTTATATATATACACACACACAAAAAAAAGAAGTAAATAATTATATGATGCCAAGTGGTATAACCATGAGACGCCAAGTATAGATTTTTAGGATAAAGCTCCAACAAAGTTGGTGTTTTAAAAATATTTTAAATAAAAAACGAAATTGAAAAAAATAAAAAATAAAAAATTCAAATTTGGGAGTAGTTTCAAGTTGGAGGTTGTGAGGAGGCACCCCTTCTCCCAAAGTTACGGGGCTATTTTGTCGAGTTCCTTAGAGAGAGTTGTCTCGCGCCCCTAGGTATTCTCTACCTACCCACCTATGTCGATTTAAGACAAAATAAACTACCTTTCTAACTAAAAAATCTTTTAAATTTTAAATTTTGAATTAATTGGTTACTCCATTTGAATTAATAAATATAGATTTCTTATAATTAGCTATAATAAATATCGAAAAATAATTACCCATTCAAATTGGGGAGTAGTTTCAAGTTGGAGTTTTAAAAATATATTAAAATAAAAAAACAAATGAAAAGGTAAAATTAGCTATAATAAAAACGGAAATATATAAATAAAAGAAATACTCATTCAAATTGGGGAGTAGTTTCAAGTTGGAGTTTTAAAATTATTTTAAAATTAAAAAACAAAAATAAAGAAATAAAAAAACTTTCAATTCAAATGAAAAATACAAAAAGTCAAGTGGAATTGTTAAGATAAAATATTTATCAAGTGGCATTCAAACTAGGGAGTAGTTTCAAGTTGTTGTTTTAAAATTATTTTAAAATTAAAAAATAAAAAATAAGAAAAAATTAAACTAGCTACAGTAAAAAAATGAAAATATTATAAAATAAAAACAAAACAAAAACTACCTATTCAAGTCGGAGAATAGTTTTGGTTACTCCCTTTCTAACAAAAAAACCTTTGAATTTTAAATTTTGAATTAATTGGTTACTCTATTTAAATTAATAAATAAAGATATCTCATAATTAGCTATAATAAAAAAAGAAAATAAAACTACCCATTCAAATTGGAGAGTAGTTTCAATTTGGAGTTTTACAAATATTTTAAAATTAAAAAAATAAAATTAGCTATAATAAAAAAAAATGAAAATCTATCTTCTATCTATATATAATATATAATATCTATATATTTATCTATATATAATAAAAGGAGAGGCAAAAGCACAATATTAAGATAAGTGGCATAACCCCAAAAAGCCAAGTGACATTAGGACAAAACAAACTACCTTTCTAACTAAAAAACCTTTTGAATTTTAAATTTTGAATTA